TGCTGCGTAGGAAAGTCACACGTTTGCAAAACACCTCAAATCCACTCACCTTAAAAATATGCACCTAGTCCAAGCTAACTGCAAAACACGCCCTCAGGGGCAAAGGGCCAAGTCCTCACGAGACTTATTGCTAGTGGGACAAAGCAAGGGCAGCTCAGACCGTTACCTGCTGCCAGAGCAAACAAAGCCCAAACAGAGCCCCAAGAGCCACTTGCAAACTCAGCTTCAATAGGAAACCCCATCTGTGTGTCTAGGTAAAGCCCTTGGAGGCAGGAAAAGTTCAGAGCAGAGGCAGGGTTCTCATGGTAAAAGGAAAAGGGTCAGGGCCCAGGATCAAACCCCAGCCCCTGCTCAGCACAATGAGCTGGGAGCAGATACAGAGGTGTTCATGGCTCCTGAAGGAGAGGCAATGAGAGCAGCTCTCTCACACCACAGCAATGCATGACAGGAGCACAGGAACGCTCAGCCCACAACCCCAGCCAGATCTTACCACGCTTCTCACAAAAGAATTCCCTGTGGAACAGAGAAGAAAGTGTACTGGTGTCTATGGGTTATCTTTGTCCCTGGAGTTAGCTGCACAAGAACCAGCTGAGCTGATGAGCACAGACACGTGGTTCTAGAAGAGCATCCACCACACAGGCCAGGAACAGCTCCTTCCCCAGGTGACACGGCCCAACAGCCTCCAACAAGGAGCCAACTGCACTGCTCCCCCAGAGGTGGCCACATCAGAGCCCTGCAGAACAGACGCCATCACACATTGGGGTGCAAACACCCCCCCAAAGACACCATATGCAGGGTTCATTAGTGGACTTCCCCAGGCTGCTGGAGCTCAGGGCAAAGCAGATGCCCAAGACATTGCTGCACCAGGCTCCTGCACCCCAGAGCTCGGGTCAGTGGGGCAAGAATTAAAAAAGAAAATGAGCAGCAAGACAGTAAGTGCCTATTCTAACCCCAGCCTTCTGCCCAGAAAGCACAGGAACAGAGATGAATAAAGGCTTTGGAAATCAAACATTTCAGCCAGTCTTCTCTTCTGGAGATTCCTTCTATTCCCCACATCCCATGTCTTGGAGAAGCACATTGTGCCTCCTCTTTCCAACTGCTTGCTAAGTGCTACAAACCCAAATTTGGCTGCTTCTGCCCTCTCCTTCAGCACAGCCACTCAGCCCTTCCTCACTCACCCCTCACACCCAGAGCCAGCAGCAGCAGCCACTACAGACACACAAGTAGGTGGAGCTCTTGCTACACACATCAGGGATGCTGCTGTAGCAGAACAGAGCCTAATCAGCCAGCTAATTTGATGCCTCCCACAACCAGAGCTTGATAAGAGATTGCTTCCGAGGTGCTCTGATCACTAAATGGCATCAGGTGGACCACAGCAAATGGTGCAGTTTTTTTTCAGAATTTCAGACTGAAGTTGGGCCACAGATACTCCTATGACCTCTCCCTGCTGCTTCAAGAATGCTCAATTACAAAGCAGTGGTCAGATTTCAATGTTTCCTCCTGAATATTTCATGGACTTGAGCAAAACTCATCAGGTGGAGTTGGAACTGATGGCTTTCTTCAGCATCCATGACAATCAGTTTATCCATTCACTCAGAACAAACTCCAGCTGCTCTTTCAGACACTGCTGCTGTTAACGCTCACATGAGACTCCAACAGGCCAAGTCTACTACACAAACAAAAAGCAACCAGGGGTGATGGGGTTAAAGTTTTTCTTCCCCAAAAGTCAAGAACAGCATTACCAAAGAACTGGCAAGGAACTGAACTTCATCATAGTTCAGTGGAGCTCTGATATTTGCTTCTTTCTCCAGTTCACATCAAGAATGGATGTCACCTCCCCCAGCTTTCAGGATGCCAAGTCACTGCCCAGAACTAGCAACACACCAGAGGTGTTCCACAATCTGCAGATCATAACTGGCCACAGCATCTCGTGGTGGGAAAAAGCTCCAAGGGAGCAGCTGAGAACTAAAGGTGTTTTTTTCTGGTCTTCTTCCAAGGGCTGCTCTGCAGAACACAGAGTCAGGTGAAGGATCTGGCTCCCTCCAAGAACAGAGTGGAAAACACAAAATAAAATAGATTGAGAAACTGCTCTGGAGTGTTTTAACTACAACTGCACGCAGGTCTTGGGGCACTTCCCCACCATCTGCTTGCTGTGTTGAGATGCTGGGGAAGTGCTAGGTACTCTTGACGGCCACCCTGTTAAGTTGCCTTTCAAACAATGTCATGTGAACCTCCAGATCTTGACCCAAAAGTGTAACAAGCCATGTCCTTAGCCTGAACACAGCCTCCAACACCCACTGATTTGCAAACAGAGGGAAGCTGGGAGCTGCCACCCACACCTCTAGAGGACACATCCTGCAAACTAATGTCTCAGAACTGAACCACAGGGATCGCCCCGGCCTCTGGGTCTGGTCCACGGGAACCTCCTTCCTGCCCTGGGTGTCAGTGTTTGCTGGAGTACAATGTTTCTTCTTCAGTGTCTGTTTCATCCTGGAATTCATGGCTCAGGAGGGACTTCTTGGAGCCAGTGGCCATCATGCGGATCTCGTCCTCGTAGTCGTCGTGGTGCTGCCGGAGGCGGTGGAACCCGTCCTTGTGCCTGTTGGACTTAATGGAGCACACACACCAGATGATGCAGGCAGTGAGGACCAGAGCAGACATGCTTGCACCTGCCAGAGAGAGAACACTCAAGTTAGCACCATGTTCCCTCACCCCAGAGACTCACAGGCTTGCCACCATCTCTCTTCTGCAGTTACAACCAGCTTCCTCACTTCACTATGACTTTGCTTCTTCCTCCTAGGCCACAGAAGATGTCATGCAAGAGAGCTGCTCCCAGAACAGGACTGCTCTAACTCTTCTGTGCTCATGCTCTGGGACAGCATCACTGGGCTCCTCTGCTGGGTACAAACTCCAGCCTTCCCAGCAGCTGCCACCTTGACAAAAAAAATCCCTCAATGCCTACCTGGTGTCACACCACTCAAGCCCCAGGGAAGAAGCAAGATCTCCTGCCTCCCAGCTCTACACCCAAACAGGCTCTCCCCATTCCTGGCATCTCAAAATCCATCCTGGTCCCTTCAGAACCCTGCAGCACACTGCTTGCCCTCTCCCTCCCATGTGCTAGCCAAGTATCACCAGATCCAAGGGTTGTTAGACCATTTTACAAGGACAAGCATGTGTTCAGAAGGGAAAGCAGAAGATGCCTTAAGTCTGCAGGCTACTTTTCTTGTCGGGAGGAGAAGAGTCACAGTCAGCATGAACTGGTACAGAAAGCAAAAGCTCAAAGCTTTGACCAGGAGCATCTCTTTACCTGCAACAGTCACAACCAGCTCCCTGGGCAGACCAAACACTCTGTTTGCTGTGTCAAACACAATGAGCACAGAGCTGGGCGCATCCTGACGTACAAAGACCTGCAGAAAGATACGACAGCTCAGACAACTCAAAGCTTGAACCCCTAAGAGATACTTGCTGAGCAGGGCAGGACAGGGCAGATGCCAAAGACAAGTGCAATGGAAAGAAAAGCTACTGCCCAGAGCAACCCTGCTGAGCTGGGAAATTCTCCTGCATCCACTGTATCAAGGCAGAAAAGAGCCACCCTGGGCACATCACTGGGAGCTAAACACAGCCAGCTAGGCAGAGCCCAAACAGGGATACCTTTCCAAAACAGGGAGTGGGGGCAAGATGTCCAGCATGGACATTCACATACCTTGACACGTTTCTGCTGGTACCCATCAGCTATTGCATCAATGTTATGCAAACCTGGAGCCAAGAGCACGTGGAAATAGCCACCTTCTTTAGTGTAGATCTTCAAGCCTTCATTAAGAACAATGGTAGCTTTAGAAATTGCCTTGCCATTCTTGTCTTGGACAAACCCATGGACTCCCTTATGGACCTGGAACAAAGCATTGCAAGCACCTCACATTCAGATCCAAGCATGTGGTACATTTGTAACTAAAATAGGGTCTAATCTCCTCAAAACACAGCCCATTCTCCATCCCTGACCCCCATAATAAAGAGAATGGCACAATACTCCAAGAACTTCTCAGCTCATGGTCAGGGAACACAGCACAGACATTTAACTCTTGTCAATGTATTCCCTGGTCACTTGCTGCTTCCATTCTATCCATTCCTCACAGTCTGAATTATGTCTGTAATTACACAGCACTAACCAAGCCACAGAGCCTTTCCATAGTGCTCTCCTCCTCTCCTCCTCCCTGCCTGACCCGCTATCTCCACTCCTTGCCAGGGTTTCCTCCCACAGACTGTGGCTCACCTCCACGAGCATGCTGAGGAGAGATTTCCTGTGTTCTGCCCACAGGCTGGGGAGCTGCCCTGCGCTCGGGAAGTAGCAGCAGCTGGTATAAACTGTGATCTCAGGACAATGACCAAACGTGACACTGAAATCCTGCAAAAAAACACCAAAACCACAGTTACAACTAAAGAGGTGGTATTTTAAAAGCTTTGCAAAGTGCAGCTGGGGGTGAAGAAGTTTTGCCCAGGCACATCAGAACAAATGTGGTTTTTAATGCCTGTTTAGCTGGGATGGAGAGGCCTGTGCCATGCTGAAGTACCTTCATGCTTCCCAAGTGACTGTGCCATTCAGAGCCTTGGATCACACCGCCAGGAATATTCTCATCTGTGAGAGGAAGAACACAGCTGTCAGTCAGACCTGCTCCTAGCAGAGTCTAGCACAAGCTGACAGGGGGCTAAAGGATGCAACCAAACATACCTGACTTATTTGGACAGCCTGGCTGGCCCAAATACATCAGCGGATGGTTGTTTGCATACAGAGATGCCAAATGCTTCAGTGTTTCTTTGTTCTCCACTACAAAGAGAAAAGTGAGATTTTTCAGAAGGCAACCCCTACTCACTGGAGAGGCAGATTCCTGTTCTAACCCCACAATCATGCATTAAACAGTGACATGCATTGCTTCAGGGGCATTCTGGATTTCCTCTAACACTGAGGGATGATATCAAAAGCAGACTTTATACCAGTTTTGACAGAGGAAAGGTTGGAATACTGTTGTAGGAATGGAAATGCTAAGTGTTCTGATCTCTAACTGAATCCTGTGAGGTTTTCTAGCTTTACTTAACAGACTGTCAAGTCCACATACAAAGGGCTGAACATAAAAGGAGGATACAGAACACTACCAGCACAAAAAACTCTTACACCACATGGTTCCATGAACTTCTGCAGTGACAGCCTGAGGGTAACTGTGCATGCAGGGCCCTGGAGAAGTCAGTCATACCTGTCTGTGCTGGCTTATCATACGGGTAAGTGACAAGCAGAGATCCTCCATCTAGTGCAACAGAGAGGCTGAAATCCTGCTTCAGTATCAAGTTCTCCATTGCTTTAGTCTCAGGCTCTCGTGTCCCCAGGTACTGGGAGTAATTGCCTGTAAATTAGAACAATAAATAGAAAAGGGAAATGACAACAGTTTCCTCTGTCACTCAAGCGACCAGCAGAAGCACATTCTTTCTGTCTGGGATGGTCTGCTGCATCTTTTATTAAAAGGTACTTGTTAGATCTCAGCAGATGCACCTGACGGATCCAGTAAATCACCTCATCCACACTACCCATAGGAGGAACTCAACTGCAAAGCTAAACAAATGTGACACATCACTGTTTCCCCAAGCTATTGATTCCTGTGACGCAGAGACGATTTCACGTGTGTTTGCTCTCCTCAATGCCACCAAACCAGCATTTTAAGAAAGCATTTGGGACAACCTCAGCCAAACCTGGCCAGAGAGGAGACTTCATCTCAGGAAGGGTGGGCACAGTGCACTGCTAGGGATACAGCAGGCAGCTACAAGGAAACAGGGAAAGCATGAGAAATGGAGACTGTTTCTGGGGAGTTGGAACAGAGAGTATTTTTTAGAGATCAATGAACAGGAAAAACACATTAGGTGTTGTCTGACCTCTGGACTATTCCCAAAGAACTCTGCTTTGTCTCTTCCTTGAAAATAAGAGACTGCAAATCACCATCTCTAAGTGGGATCCAAGCTTTGGAAGTTTTCCAGCAGCTGTGCTGCCTGGGCTCCAGGGCAGGAGTGCTGCTCTCTTTACAGGCAGACCCCGTAGCCAAACGACTACCCCCAAGCCCAGAGCAGCCGGGAGGAGACTTCCACAGCAGGCTGCATTTCTACAGGGACACTACACATCACCTGGGTTTCGTTTGCCTTACTTATGAAGTCTGTGTCCAGATCTTTGCCGTGGGCATTGGTCTGGCCCACCTTGGAGGTGCAGCCTCTCTCCTGGGCTATCTCACGCCCGTCTGGGTTCAGGGAAGGCACAATCACAATCCGCGTCCGGTCGATCAGCTGAAAAGGAGCAGGAACAGTACAGACAGTGCAGTCAGCAGGGTTCACTCCCTGTACATCTCTGGCCCGGATCTCATCAGTTAGAGGTTCCCCCTCACCCTCTGGATCTCCTAACACCTCCCCACTATGTGTGGGATCGCTGCAAACCACAAGCCAGTGTTAACACTGCACACTGCCTGCTCAGAATACAGCTGCAAGGCTCCAAGATGGTCCCTTGCCTTGGCTCCTCACCTTTGTAACAGCAGAGTTCTTCTTGTAGTTCATGCAAAGGAATTCTGCCAGTGCCAGGAGCAGCTCTGTACCAACGGGAGCATTGCCATGGATGCCAGCAACGAAGCGGATCTTTGGCTCCTCGTGCTCAGACTGGTTGGGCTTGTTGGAGATTTCGAGGGACCAGATCTGACGGAACTCGACGCTTTGACCCAAACTGCCAAGAGATGAGAAACCAGAGCATCAGGTCAGGAACAGAGACACACCCCTGGCCTGACCTTAGGGAGAAGTCCTGGTGTGCAAAAGGAACTGCTGCCAACCTCCCTAAGGAGGCTGCAAAGACAGGTAAGACACAAACCAATCACATCATGAGAGAAGATTTGCAGCAGCACTGAACAGAACTCAGTACAAACATCAGTCTGAACACAAGCATCTGTGTAAGGATGTAGCCAGGTCCAGACATACAGGACACCCAGTGCTCCATAGATCTCTACAGCCTCTGTGGCATCGTGATAAACACAGAAACTGCTAATGCCTCTGTGTTTCCAGTGTCAGAGTTTTCCGGGTTTTTCCTCCTTCAGAGCAGGACACATCTGGACATCAAACTACTTTAGGAAGCACCCAGTGTAGAGAACAAAAGCTGAGCTATTTCCAGTAACGTGGAAGTTGTTGCTACAGTCATGTCATTAAGTTAGCAAGCTGAATACGAGCGAAGCAGGGAACACAATCAGGGCTGATGCAACTGGAAGGACAATAGAGGCTACAGATCAAAAAAGCAGCCTTGGCACCAGCAGGGACAACACATGAGCACGTTGTGCCTGGTAACAACAAGCAAATGAGGTCTGGGAACAAAGGGATTTGTGCTTTCTGAAGCTGACAGAGGGTAAGCGCTACAGGTCACAAAGAGAAGCAGAGGACTGCAGCAGCTGGTCTCCTGGGGAGGGCAGAGACCTTGGCTCAGGGCAAGCTAACTCCAATGTGTCACACTACTGAATTAAAATCTGAAGGCAGACAATCAAAAAAGGCCATCTGAGGTTTGTAAGGCAATCTGATCACTTTTTCCAGGGACTCTTCAGCAAAGTGGATGTCAGGAAGGATTTGGAAACGGAAGGGAACAGAGAGCATGGAACGGAGGAATCTGCAGTAGCCTGGGACATCAATGCTGGGAATTTGCTAGACCCAGGCTCCCCCAGGGAACTGACAGGTTTAAGTCAGCAAAATATACTCTGAGGAAAAAAGAAGAGAGGTGCATCTGGGAGTCCCTGCAGCCAGAGCTCTGCCACCATGCCCTTACCCACGGGGTTCCCTCAAACTGGGGGAGACAGGGAAGGGGAACAACGAGCTCCCCATCTCTGCACTGCGTTTGTGCCTCCTCGTTTCACCCCTCCCCCAGCCCCGGCGGCTGCACAGGGAGGAGCTGAGCACTCTGCTCTGAGTTTTCACCTGGTGAGGTTGGTGATGTGGGGGTAGTTCAGGTAGAGGCCTCGGAGGAACTCTGAGAGGTCCTTGTAGGGGCGGTACCGGTAAGGGGAGACATCCCCCGCGGAGGTGAGCAGGAGACGCTCCAGGCCATTCTCAGCAGACAGGTCTTTGATCAGGGTCTCAAACTCCTTCTCGTTGGGGTCGATGGTGTCTGGGGTGTTCAAGATTGGCACCTTCCCCTCCTCCACTTTGATGTCTGTCCGTGAAAGAGTGAAGTTGACCTGCACCCCACCTTTGCTGCCAACTTCCACCGTCTTAGTGACTGGATCATACCTGCCCAGGGAAGAGAAGGCACAAGGAAACATCAGGGGTTAAAGGCCTCACACAAGAAGACATCCCCCTTCCTGACTAGACACTCACATGGGACTGCTACTGCTCTCCAGCTAAAGGCAAGAAGTGTAAAAATTAGGAGCAAGAACATTTCAAAGGGACATGGGAATAGCAGGAAAGGGAGCAGCTCAGGGCCCAACATGGCACTGAGCTGCTTTTGGCTCAGGTGTTGCAGGGTTACATGGCAGACTGGCAGGACAAGAAGTCAGGCTGCTTAAACATAAAGGTTTTGGCAGCAGCTGAAGTGATGAAGTCACTTCTGTGGGCAGCTGCCTGTAAGAGCATTTCCCCTAAAGAAGCAGAGTTACCAACTCCTTTCCCACACCAATGCCAAACAAGGGAAGATCTGGAGTGTACCCCAGCGCCAGCTGAGTGGTCTGACATCAGGGTGGCACCACATTCCTAATTCTGCAGGGGCCAGAGGGCAGGAGGAACACCCAGGCCTACGTCTGCTATGGGACTACTCCTGACTGGGAAGCTAGTGGCACAGCTGTTCACTCCTTGCTTGCTCACCCTCGGGCAGATGCTGTGATCCTGTAGGTCCCCTGGACCAAGAGGCGCCAGTAGTCTCCATCCTTGTAGGTGGTCACCGGGTGGTTGATGTCAGCAACGCTGATGGTGGCATTGAGAACACCCCTTCCATCCATCCCATCCAGCACGAACCCCCAGACACCACTGTGAACCTGTGGAGCCAGAGCCCTGCTGAGTGCCAGCCCCTGCCCTGCCTCTGCCTCCCACCCCACCCAGCACCCCGGGAGCACTGACACCCAGACCCCACCAGCTCCCAGCCCTGGAGGTCCAGCATTCCCAGAGGAGCATCGTGTCCCTGCAGGGTTCAGGTCAGACTGGCCAGCAGCTGGTGTGGACAAAGATCACCCAATGAATACAATGAGTAATTGTTTGGCTCGGGGTGCCACCACAACACCCTCTGCTCCACACCTTTGTTTGCATGCCCCAGGTGTGCAGCACTACCACCAGTCCTGGACTCAGATGGGAACAGCACATAAAGGCCATTCCAGTCTAAGGAAGACCAAGGTAGGGGTAAAGAACAAAGCCACACCTGGCTGCTGTTCCCATATGGATTGCTGATATGTTGAGAAGGAGGGAGAGGAGTTGTTGAGACCTGTTCTGATGGGGGTGATTTCTGTGGAGCAGGTAGCCAGCCAGGAAGCAGGATGGGCTTCAGCCCACAGATGAGTTTGTCCATTCTGGCATGGTCTAACAAACCCCAGAGGCTGCTCACACAGTTGCTTGGGGTCAAAGTGTCTCACCTGTTTCATGAACTGGAGGAGAGAGCGGCGGTTCTGCTCCCAGTACTTTGGCAGCTCCTCAGCTTTTGGATATTTCACACAGCCCAACTCAATGGTCACTTCAAAGCAGTTTGTATTTAAGTAATTCCAGTCTTGCATCCCACCTACAATAGGAATGTAAAGAAAGTTCTGACACAGAGTCCTGAACGTAATTGCACCATAGCTCAAAAAAACCACCAAAAATCAGATAGTAGAGAAAGATGAACTTCAAACTACAGCATGCTCTTTATAGCTGAAGAGAGAAGGCTTTTACACAGGGCAAGATTCAGGCTTCAAAGGGATGACAAAGCAGCAGACAAATAACTATCCTTCTTGTAAATACCTTTCATGCTAATATAGTGCTGTAAAATTTTATGAAACCATTTTGCTAATCACCAGAAAAACTACACTATAAATTCCTTCCCCCAGGAATAACTTTATCTGGATACATTATTTAAGGTTATAAAAGAAACCTGAGACCCAGTAATCTGGGATGACCAACGTGGAGTTTGTGACTGATCAGACTAAATTCTTTGAGGTGCACACGTGTTAACTTGAAGGTAACCAGTGCAAGAGACTGTGGGTCTGCTTTACCTGGAACGTTGTACCACTGAGCCCCATTAGTGATGCCATGTGGGAAGTACTCAGTGGGGTACATATCCGTGCAGGGCCTTCCCTGGTACATCTTTGTGTTTTCCTGAACAGCAAAAGAAAGATGCAACCTGTGAAGTCAAGTTTGCCCTCTACAGCCACTGGGGCTTTTGTTCTAACATTAGTCACAGACTCAGGGTTACCAAACACAGAGGTTCATGCAGACATGTGTTTGTAGGGTTCCAGCACAAACAGGCTGCACCCGCACCCAGCCCGCAGACACCCCTCCCAGCCTGGGCACAGCCTCTTCTGCCACCCTGCAGTGTACCTGGCCCTGTGCCTGCTCAGAGTGCTCCTCCTACACTGCCCACAAACAGAATGTGCTGGACAACCACCCATGGAACGAGAGCCTCCCACTGGATCCTTCTGCTGTGCCCACAACACCAGGCAGACACTGTCCCTGTGCACTCTGCCAGCCACTCAGGAGGTCGCTGACAGCATCAGGAGTGAACCCAGCAGGATGTGCCCATTTGCCCCTTGGAGCTTTACCTTGGAGTAGGAAAGTGCCAGCTGCTGAAACACAGCGTCGTCTGGGGATTTACTGTATATGGCTATTCCTTGTTCATCATCATCAAAGGGGTAATTAACCACCAGAGAACCTGCAGGGGAAACAAGCTTTGACTCGTACTTGCACGCTTTCCAAGTGACCCCCCCCAGCCTAACAAGGAAAGTTTCTTTCTCCAGAGTGCCAAGTGTTCAGTTTCTCAAGACTCAGGATTAGACAAAGCATTAAACCCAGTGGCTAGAAGAGACAACAGAAGCACAGGAAGAGATAAGACCACACCTAGTTGGGAAGGTGAACCCCAGCCAAGACACATCAAAGGTTTGGCTCCTCCGTGCAGAAGGGATGAGCACAAGCCTACTTTCACAGAGGACAGGAAACAAGTGGAGGCATTTCCTGGAACATGCAAGGTGCCCTTGGGCCAACTGCTGCAGTTTTTTGGCCTTCTGGAGTTTCTCTGACTTGCTGAAGCTCTCCCTAGGCAAGCTGCACTAATAGCACCGTGGAGCCCCAGACAGCACGGCTGCTGGAGAGCTGCCAGCTCCCTTGTACCCACACATGGTACTTCTGCACTGTAAAATTAAACATGCCAGCACAAAGCAACCACCTGCAGGTTACCACAGCTACCAGCCAGCAGACAAACTGTCTAGGGAATAAGCTGAAATACAGAGACTTAATTTAGATCACTCCAAACAAATAATTCAATTACAGCAAATTTCATAGTTCCACCATGCGATTCAAGGCAGGGAACCCTCAGGATTAGAGCTTGTCCCCTTCATTTTGTACATATGATGAAGGCTCCAACAGCCACAGCACCGTATCACACCCCCAGCCCCAGCTGTTGACACAGGCCCATCCCCATCTCCCAACAGACAATGCAGCAGCTACTCCCAGTTCATGTGCTCCCTCCAGAGAAGGGCTTCAGTTTCTCCCAGCAGCCTCTTCAACTCCCTACAGATTTCTTGACACCACAGTATAAGAGAGAAATTGAGGTGCTGGAGCAGGTCCAGAAGGGCAACAAAGCTGGGAGGGGTCTGGGGAATATGGCTTATGAGGAGCTGCTGAGGGACCTGGGGTTGTTTAGTCTGGAGAAGAGAAGGCTGAGAGGAGACATTCTTGCTGTCAACTACCTGAAAGGAGGCTGGAGTGAGGTGGGTGTTGGTCTCTTCTCCCATGTAACTAGCAATAGGATTAGAGGAAATGGGGTTAAGTTGCACCGGGGGAGGTTTAAGTTGGACATTAGGAAGAATTTCTTTCCTTGGCAGAGTGGTGAGGCAGTGGCCCAGGCTGCCCAGGGATGTGGTAGAGTCACCAGCCCTGGAGGGGTTCAAAAAATGTGTAGACATGGCACTTCAGGACATGGTTTAGTGATCATGGTAGTGTTGGGCTGACAGTTGGACTTGATCTTAGAGGTCTCTCCCAACCTTAATGATTCTATGATTCAGTGAAATGAGTTCAGGGACATGGTTAGCACCCTCTGTTTCCAGCTTCTGAGCTATCTTCCTGTAGCACGAACACAAGGTTTGGTTTATACTCCTCCTTTGTGCAGGCCCTTTGGAAATGGCCTTGTCCCTGTTGCAGGAACCCAGCTGCCTTTACTCCTGCATTTCACAGCAACGCCAAGGGCAGCGAGTGCTCTGTGAGAGCTCCTCAGCTCACAGCCACAACACCAGAGACACCCCTGCAAGCTCCCAGCCCTCGAGCCTCAGCAGAAGGAGGGCGCTGGGTGTGGCTGCAGTACCTCCGTGCAGGTTTGCTGAGAGCACAAAGGGGTAGGTCTTCAGCCAGGTCATAACAGCCAGAGTCTCTGGCTGCGGAGGGTCTGCCACGTGGAAGAACTGATCCGGGAAGTTACGGTTCAGGTCGTAGTTGTTGCTGTTGTTCCTGCCAACGGTACCTCCTCTGTCTCCTGAAAATTAAACATGTTCAGGCTTGCACCCTGTGCAAGTTCCCACTTCCACGCAGAGGCTTCAGCCTCTTCCTGCAGAGCTTTGCAACTACCAACTAGTGGCAAAAAGCAGAGATCACAGCAGTGCTGGCTTCCTACAGCCCAGAGGGACAGGACCCCCACCCTGCCCCTCAGCAGCAGGCCTGCTCTGTGCAGCGTGGCACCCAGGCCCTCGCAGAGGGTGTCTGCACAGGCTCAGTGACAGCCAGACCACAGCCAGCAGAGAGGCAGCGAACCACAAACCAGCCCAGCAGCCGGATGTCACGACCGCAGAAACCTCAGAGCTCACCTCCCCAAACCAGCCCGACAAGTTCTTTGTCAAACCCAAGCAGAGCTCTGCTCCCAGAAAGATCATCCTGGACAGATTTTGTTCTGCCAATCTGCAAGAGCCACGCAGTTTTACTGACTTCCCTGAAGGCTAATTTTGCCAATTTGAACGTCATGATAAAAGTCTGTTGTCCTTGGACAGGCGCTCTGCAGACAGCCTGGCTCCCACATCACGTGTTGCTAAGAGCATGGACCAAAGCACAGCAAGTATGAGCTGTGTCAAAGGAATGTCTTGTTTTAAAATAAGCCTTAGGATAGCTACAAGCCATAAGGGGACCCGACGAGGGGCAGCTTATAGCACTGCTGAAGTGTCAGAGCTCTCTCCAGCAGCTCCAAGCATCAGTCAACTGCCCATATCATGCAGCTTGTGGTCCACATGCTCCTCTGAGAGGACACACCAAGTCCCTTCCCAGCCTCCCTCTGCAGAGAGCACTTCTGCTCCAGCCAGGCTTCCAGATTTCTCAGAGAGGCACTGTGAACCCAAAAGCTTGTTCCCAGAGCTAGAAACCCCATAGGTGTTTCAGCACAGATGGCAATACCTTCCTGGGACTTCTCATAGCCATCAGGGTTCATAGAGGGCATGATGTGGATCCGAGTGCTCTGAACCAGGTCAGTCACTTCAGGATCTGTGCCGAAGTTCTTGCAGAGGTACTCGATGAGGTTCAGGAGAAGCTCTCGTCCCACTACTTCATTCCCATGCATGTTACCAATGTACTTGAACTCCGGCTCACCTGCAGACAGACACACCAAAGAGACAATCATAACCAGCATATTAAAACTTGGAGACATGTCACCAGCCTGAGCATTGCTCTCTTTGGCCTTTCAGCAGGGCCGGAGGGTATTTACACCTAAAATTTACCCTCCTGCTCCCACAACACCAAAAAGGACAAACAATTTCAATGGAAGCTGCTTGGTCCTCCTGTCCAGAGCTCCATGACCAGTGCAGATGCCCCCAGCAATGCTCTTTAACTCACATTAGTGCCACCTAAGGCACCCAGCCTTTTTAGAAAGGACACTGCAAGGACCAGCTCAGCCTCTCCTCAGGCAGGTACCGGCTCCACGCTCCTTTTTGCTCTGCCCACAGCCTCGCAGAGCAAAGGGCCTGTCACCAGCGCCCCGCTGCCAAGGGCTGCCCGAGTTACCCGCTTCGTGGACGCCGGGGTTGTCGGAGATCTCCATGACGTAGAGCTCCCGCAGCTCCACCGACTTGCCCGCCGAGTAGAGGCGCGTGATGCGGGGGTACTCGCTGGCGTAGCGCCGCAGGAAGATCTCCATGTCCGAGAAGTGATGGTGCCTGAAGTCCACGGGCTGGATGGGTTGGTGGGAGGAGGTCGGGCCTGGGGCCTCCACGGGGCCGGGGGCGGCGGTAGGGACAGGAGCGGCCGTTGCTGTTGGCTGTGTGACGTTAAGAACTGGTGGCATCACGGTTGGCTGCAGGGAGAAGTCCACTTCTGTTGCATCTCCCTCCTTCACCTCGATGTTCTCTCTGGTCACTGGTGCGTAACTGTGAGAAAAACATCTGGCTTCAGCAAGGAGGCTCTGGAGAACAGAGGCCAAAACCCCCTGCAGCCTCTCCACCACTCCAGCTTACTCCTCCCAGCCCAAACACACTGGGATGTTAACAACTACATGAGAGATTCACCAGCCAACAAGCTGAGGGGACTTGCCCCATGGCCACCAGACCCAGCTATGCTGCTGTCCCTGCTTGTCACAGAGCCAAAAGTTCCTCTTTACTGACTCCCTGGGAAAGAAGCTGCAGGTGTCCCAGGGCTGGCCCAGGGGCAAGCTATATGTTCACACCCAGACTTGAGACAACACAAACCCCTTTTGGGATAACTCTACTCTACTTTGCCCCAAAAGTAAGATGCATATTGATCTAAGCAACCAATCAAAGGTGATAGAAATGCTGTGCACGCAACAACACCCTGCTGCAGTGGGGCATGGGGTGAACAAACAGCTGCAGCTCTAAGCTGGAGTCCTTCACTGCTGCAGCTTCCAGCCGTGTCCCTTAAATAAACAAGAGGATGCTTTGGGGGAAGAAATCAAGCAAAGGAACAAAAACAGTTGGCAGTGTGGCCACAGGCTGCCACAAAGACATTACCCCATTACAACTGCAGTCACGTTGTAGGTCCCAGGCACAAGCAGCCGGTGGTAATCCCCAAATTTGCCTGCTGTGATGTTATGAGCAATACCAGCAACAACAATGGTCGCATTCTCCAGGCCAGCTCCAGTGACTGCATCCCTGACAAAGCCCTTCACACCGATGTGGACCTGAGGAGAACAATGCAAGAGCCTGGCTGAGGACAGGCAACATCAGGGGACCTGCATCTTCAGCCAGCAACACCCCCTGCCCTTCTCCAAACACAGCAGAGCAGGACAGCTGCCAGGCAAAGACACCCAAGGGGCCCTGATTTGGGCAGTGCTTAGCCAGATGGCAAGGACAGGAATTCCAGCATGCCCTGGGAATGCAGCAAGATCTCAAAATTAATCCTCCCTAACAAACCCTCTATTTCACTCACATGGGCACACAAGATGAACATAGCAGGGTCACAGGACAAAACAAGGAACAAAATGCAGCTGCCTCCCCTCCCAGCTTAAACTGTAGCTACCCAGCTCATGCACGTGCATCTGGAGACAGGCCAAGGGCTCAGTAGCGTTGGTGCTTTCAAACATCACTGCAGATTGATGCCTCAGAGGCCACAGAGGTACTCTGGATTGCTTAAGCGAGGCCTGCACTGACTGGTCCCTCCGCCCAACACTGAGCCCCACGAGGCCCCTCTGAGCTCTGCTGTTGCGGAGGATGTGGGAACTGTGGCAGAACCACAGAGACAGACAGCAGCATTGTAGCCACAGACCTCTGCACACAACTGCAGCCATCGTGTCACTGCAAGCAGCAAACAAAGCCACAAGAGCAACTGAGGGCGGAGCTCTGGGCCCACGATGGCCACAGGGGTTTCACAGCTGCTCCCCCACGCCGCCCCGTCGCTACCTTCTCAATGAAGGCGAGCAGCGAGTCCCGGTTGTTCTCCCACTCCTGCTGCAGCTCAGAGGTCGGTGGGTATTTGCAGCAGGACAGCTCCAACGTGATCTCAAAGCAGTTGGCCCACACATAGTTGTAATCCTGCATCCCACCTGTGAAAACAAGGCAGAGACACGGCCTAAGAGCAGCGTTCAGACACCTCCCCACAGGACGCAGTTTCCCCTGTCTTTCAGCCCCCCTAATGCTGCCCCAGCTCTGGAGTGAGCAACCTCAGGAGAGAAGTCAGATCAGATCATCGTGAGAGTCTGTGCTGGGGGAGCCTGAGCTCCATTCCTCCCAGCTACCAGCACACTGGGCCACTCAAACCAACTGCAGACACCTCAGAGATGACAGCCCCTGTGGTCCCACTGCTCTGTCAGCTCCACTCAGCAGCACAGCCCTTGGACGTTCATACAGGTTCAGTTCACTCTGAAGACATTTTCCAGACACCACAAATCCAGAATGCCAGGGCAGGCACACCTCAGCCTGAACATTACCACCACTGGGTCTTTAGCTCTGTGTGCCAAGTCATCTTTAGATTTGTGAGGTTTTCCTGCAAGAGAAATCACTACACCTAAAGTGAGCTTCAAGTGCAGATACAGAAGAACACACCAGGCCCAGTGCAGGAGGCAGCAGCTCAAATCTGCATGGCAAAATCAGTTCCAAGGAGCACACTGTTGCTCTCAAAAAAAAAAATCTTAGCAAATTCAAGACTAGCAATGCTTCCTCTTTTCTATTTCCCCAGCTGCCTTTTTCCTCCAGCTCCTTATCTGAAGTTCTCCATTTAGTTGATATTTAGTGTACCCCTAGGAGAAAGCCTGACAAGGTCTGACAGGGTGACAGAATGCAGCAAACTGCAGCAAGTCACCTTCAGGGAACCCTCCTCTTCATCTGGGAGGGCAGCAAAACCTCCCTCAGTGATGAAACTCCTGTGACTTTCAGGACTCACAGCAGCCAGGGCCTGCAAGAGGAGAACAGTTCACAGACTTCCCCACCTGAGAAACACCAGCTGGGAAACCTTCTCTTTTCCCTGAGTCCTGCAGCCACATCACCACCCTCCTCCCACATTTTCTCTTTAAGGCAGCAGACTCAATCCACTGCAAGGATGTTGCAGTGCTGGGGACAGCTTGCCAGCTTAGTGTTAAACCAATCAAACCTCCGTGAGCACCAGAAAACAGGATTGCACAGAGCTGCTTCCCAGTATTAAACTCATCTTGCTATTCTTGCCCTTCAGAGAAACTACAGGCACTGCTACGAATCAAAGGGTCACCTTGTTCCAGCAAGTGTCCTGACCCCACCTGACCACCAAGTTTACATTCAGCCCACAGTGAGCAAACCTGTTTCTCAAACAGGAATGAATCATATCAGCAGGACTTGAGGTCAACACTCACGATCTGGAGCTCAGACTTCAACGTGCTGTTGAAGACAGCAAATGTTCAGCCCCCCAAAAAGTTGTAGGAATCTTCAACAGCAAAAAAGGATATTCCAAGACCACCACAAGTCTGTGAAAAGTTTCAGAGTCACCCTGACAAATCCCACCAGATGACTGCAGAAAGATATCAAGGCCACATGAGGCTTGTTCCCACCACCAGCAGAACAGGCAGTTTCGTCTGTATGGAAAACAGAGCACACAGAGTTTTATTCACCCTGATGGTATCTTCTGGGTTACAGAACCTTATCCAGTTACAATCTAGGCATACTGGTGTGCCATGGCCTCACCACATTTCCCAGACAGCTCCATCCCAGCTTGCACAGCAGTGGCTGTTATCACTCAGCTGAGAGACCTCCACACACCAAGTGAACAGCCACCACTGACGTCAGCTGGACACAGGGGCCCAGGCAGTGGGTCTCTTCTGGATGAACTGAGGAAGTCAAACTGGCTCTCAGAAGCCCATCTGTCAGGGACTAGCTATACAGTTGCTGTGCAGGAGGCAGATGTGAACTTCAGGAGGATGACAGAGGCTGCCCGAGCCTGGAGCAGGATGAACTGAGAGGTTGTGGAGTCTCCTGCTCTGGAGAGACTCCAAACCCACCTGGATGTGATCCTGGGCACCCTGCTGTGGGTGACCTGCTGGAGCAGGGGGCTGGACGAGATGATCTCCAAAGGTCCCTTCTAACCCCCCCCATGTTGGGATTCTGTGAAAGCAGAAGACAGCCCGTGGCACGTGTCATAGCACCAGCCTGCAGGACCCCAGCAGGCAAGTCTGTAATAAACACATCCTTTGTATTCCCATCCTTTGCTTGGCCCACCAAAGTGCTACATGAGTGCTGTGCTAATAAGCCTCATTTGCTTTGTCTGAGCAGCTTCCTGATCATTCACAAGTGAGGGACCCTCCGGGTGCTGGCCAATTAACCACCAGGATGGGTCTATACCAGTGCAAACACTGCCTGGCATTTGCAGAGGCCGTGGCAATGCAGGGCCAGGAAGAGCCATCAGCAGCACTCCACCAAGCCAAGGAGGCTTATCAAAAATGCTCTGGTTGTGAGCATCCACTGTCCCAAAAGGTCAGGCAGCACTGCTCTCCATTCAGTAGCCCCACTGCACTCAAGTGAAGCAGAGGTGGGCTGGCAGCATACAGCAGGATTTAGAAGAACAGACTGCTAGGAAGATAAGGTGGGACAGTTCCACACCAGACATCCCAGTTCCCTCAGCTCTCCTGGGAGCTGCTGCTAAAGAAACATGAAGCTTCTACTGCAACAAAGGAAGCGTCACTTGCCACCAGAGAAGAGCACTGCAGCCTGTGCACGGGCTGAGCTCTAAACAAGAAAGATACTTTTCTGTCCAGCACAAGGAGCCAAAAAGGGCTTAAAAAATCTCAGTTCAAGAGGTTAGAGCAACAAGGGCTGTGAATCTGATACACATTCAGTAACCCAGCTCCTGTTACCAGGCTCAGAGAAGTAACTCACTGCAGGCTGTGTGCTCACCAGTAAACACCACAGAGTGAAACAATTTGCCAGCCTGTAACCATCTGTTCATAGCAGGACACTAATGCATTTGAAAACATCCACACTTAAAGCAGAGCCATTAGGAAGCATATTGAAAGCCTGGTCTGCCATTCAAGCAAATTTAGGACATATGCTTACCCATAATAGAGCAGCAACGGACTAAATTAGGGCTTGCTACATCAATTTTGGTAAAACTATCTCTTCCAGAAAGTAGTCCATCACATGCTTGAAAATTTGGATTGTATCTGCTGCACACATTTGGCTTCCACACGACCCCATTGCAGAGCAGGACAGTTATTTTTACAGCATATGGAATTGTGTGTTTTTCCATATACCATCTGCACCACCCCTCCTGGCTGTGTAAAAGATCTGGAGGTGTAAAGAGAGACCTGTACTCAGCCTACCATCAGCAGAGCACTACATTCAAGGAGCAGAACAGAACACACACAGGGCAGAGGGATGTCAGAGTACAGTGCTGCTACTCTACCTCTTCAGGTAATATCTGGGATATCAGGCTGGATTTATTCCAGCATTTTTTAATCTCAGGTTAGTTACTGGCCCATGCTGCATGAAGGTTCAGCCTCTGAAGGAAGTATCGTATCCATTTTACTGGTGAGGAAAGCAAAGCAAAAGTGAGCAGCTTAGTCACAGCAAGTCAGTCCCTGGCTGGCAGCAGTCACAAAACCACCCAGAACAACCCTTTCTCCTGCTCTATCCAGCTCCTCAAGCACCAGGCACTCAAGGCACAGATCCTGGACCCCTTGCTCCAGAAGTGCCGCAGAGTCCACCCAGAACAACCCTTTCTCCTGCTCCATCCAGCTCCTCAAGCACCAGCACTGCACTCCAGGCACAGATCCTGGACCCCTTGCACCAGAAGTGCTGCAGAGCTCAGGCTGACTAGGTTGCCTCTGCTCTCTGCCACGCTCAAATTCAGCATGCAATCAGAAGAATGCAGCTCTCTAGTCAAGCCCCAGGATCCTGATACTGTAAATAGACCACGTGCCAGCAGAAGCCTTCCAGGCCAGCCAGGACAGACTATTTTCAAACTGTACTGTGCAGAAACCTAATTTCAGCTCTCACTGGAACAGACATTAGGAGGTAGGAGACCTGCAGCTAAGTCAAAGCAGAGAAATGGTTGTGTCCGCTGTGCAGAGAGAGCAGATGGCACAAAGAGAGCTACAGATGTGATTAAACACGTGGCACAAGTTGCTTTCTCTGTGGACAGAAACAATTGTCTTGTAGCGTGAGACCGGGTGAGCACCAGCAGCCAACAGGCAGAGGAATGTTTTGCTCCATTAGTCTATGATCATTAA